ATGGTGTTGTGAATGTCTTAACACTTTGAAGACTGAAACTATTGCACATACCCACACACCTTTCTTGACATTCCTCTAGTTGACAGTCTAAGAAATATCGGCAGCAGAAAGGTAGAGACAATGCAGAGTAAATTTTCTTATTCTATTTGGCCTTTGCTAGTTTCTTTAGAGAGAACATATGAAAAACAGCTCACCCAATCCCAGGAAAAACCAGAGCTAAGCCTGCAGTGGTTTCAGACCTGGGGCTGGGTAACTCGCCTGCTTCAGACATAGCTTTGGTGTCTCCTTAGATGCTATCCCTTGTCAAATATAGCTATCTGATGCTGTGCACATGCTGGAGTGCTTCAACTGCTAAGACAAGGAGCTTATATTGATGTAACCATAGCAACATTTCCCCTCCTCTTTTAAAGCTGTACCTTACTCATGTTCACAATTGAATAATTTTCCATTGAACTGTCACAATTAATTGGTGGATTTTTATTAGCCTTTTAGAACCACACTGGGCTGAGCCCAGCCTGGCAGCATGTAGTGTTCAACGGTCCTTTCTCATTTTGTGAGAGACTTACATTCTCTAGCAACAGCCCTCAATCTTTAACAGTCAAAGAGATGCTTCATTATGGAGAAACATATTGGTGCTACAATAGAACCAAACTGATTTGGAATAGAGAAACATGGGTAATAAGATGGAAAAGGAATACTGGAGTTAATAATTTACTTTCCAATTAGGGCAAGTCTCTTTCTGCTGCAGCTTTTCACTTAACTCTAAACTGGACACTAACAAAGACAGGATTAATCTTTGGGCCTGGGGCATGTACTCTGCTCTCAATGACCATTTTGGCTTGGGACAGTGGCAATGAAGATCAGATGATGGGACTAATCAAAATTATATAATAAGACACCAAAAAGAATGTGTGTCATCATTTGGGGGTAACACAATTCAGAATACTTCCTGCAAGGAAGAAGTGGACTTTGAATTAACACTAAAATCGCAACAGGTACTAATTCTGGGAGGGTAATCTCCCATTTCTTTACTCTTCTAATCACAGAAGACAAAAGTTCTAGAACTCTTAAGCAAAAACCCTTTATGGTCAAATTTTTTTGAAGTGAATTCCCAAGAGTCACAATTTTGTGAATTTATGCTGTAAAGTCTCAGAATAATTTAGCCAATACTCTTTCATACCAGGTATGCTTCATATACAGAGCATCCCAAAAGTCTTAGTGCAGTTTTCAGCTTTAATAGCTTAAAATTTACCCATGTTCACAACTGACTTTTGGGACACTCTGTATGCCTATGTGTTTTGACAGAAGGTAACCTGGGTCCCTTTCCCTCTGCGCACTAATGAACATCCCAAAGCATCTAATTACATTGTCCATCCATTAACACTGAGTAAAACAGAAAGGCAAAAAAAAAAAAATCACAGAGCTATGAAGGATGCCTAGAATGAATTCTCCTTATTGGTTTTGTTCCTTTTTGTAGAAAGACATTCATCCACATGGTCACTAATTAATGTCACTTGGCAGGATACTAAGAATTGGGTCACTCACTAGTACATATGGTAGTTTTTGACTGCAGAATCTGACTTATTTACTTTTGTCAGAAAAGCATGAGATCAAGAGAGTGTGGTTTCAGAGGAACAGAAATAATGACAGGAAGTTTTCACCTTGAAAAAAAATACACAAAAAACATCCAACACCCAACAACAAATAAAGCTCGTCTTCCAGTTTACTTGCACATTCAGGCTCAATCACCCTGAAAACTGGGGCAATCAAATTGTTAAATGCATTGATCTGTTAAATCACCTCCCACTGTTATTTGGCTAAATTTAGTCGTTAACCCCCCTGCCCTCCTTCATGCCAACCCTACCATTTCCTGGTTAAAGGTCTGCTTCTTCCTGATGTCAACCAATCATCCTATGCCATGCAGTTAGCCTCAGAATTCTCCTTCACAGCAAAAATTACTCTCCAGATTAGTGGAGGTGAAGGTCTTTGCAAAACATTTATTTCGGAAACAGATTAGGCTCCCCTGAGCAACTCATTCTCATTCCCTTACTTTTCCAAATCAAGGTCACTTACTGTTTGCATCTGTTAATTGTGTTTATCTAATACACAAAAAGGTCTCCATTTTGGGTGTGTAAGTCTAAAGGATTTTAGCTATCAAAACTGAAGGTGGAGGTAAATAAACAATGCTAATGAAATACAGTCTCACTCCTGAGCTTTTACAATTGTGGTCATTTTAGACCCCTAAATAAATTCTTATTTTGTAATACATAAGAATTGTAGTTCTTTCTCCAAGTACAACCATGAATGGATTTAGTTCACGTCTCCCCATGCTGCTGAAGTTCAAATGTTCCCTTAGCCCCTAAGCTAATGGACACCTGTACATAAAGGGGTGCACCTGCACCCTGGGAAAGTGCCTCAGAATCCAGCTAGGGGCAATGAGAGGAGATCTCTAACCCTCTGAGAACAGGCTCAGTTAAACTGAGCAAGTAAGTCATGGGATGGGTCAGACTCAGTCATCACCTTTCCTCCCCCACCCCTGCCCTCCACCTCCCCGCTGCCCCATTCCTTTGCTCTCTCTCAACCAGTTACATCGCTCACAGATCCCAAACTGTAGATATGGGAGCAGAGGTAACAGATAATCCCTTGCTTCCCCACCGGTGCCCTAGAACCCTGGAAACTGAGGAAAATGAACAGACATTAGACATGGGACCTCTCCAATCCAAAGGGGAAAGCTGGAAGCTGTCTTGGGAGCCTCCCAACCCCCAATGCCCAGCCAAAGATGGAATGATTTGATACATTCTTGAAAATATACAGCACTCCCCCTACCTCCAGTCCTCCTGAGGACTCCGTCTCAGTTAGCTATCAAGGATATCATTCAATAAATCTTATGTGAATGTGTAAAATTTGGGGTATAGGTTCTTTTCTTTTTTAGTGTAGACGCTGACTTACCATGATATCACTCATTTGGTGAGGCATTTGCTACAAAGTGTAAGAATTAAAATAAAAAGGAGAACTTGATCAATTCTCTTTTTAATTTTAAGAAACAACCCTACAAACTCAAAAAACAGGATGAATTCACTAGTGTTCTTTTTAGCATGATATGAATTAGAAATCTGTCCACTATTAGCCTTGACTCAGGGAATGATAACAGAAGAATCTCCACAACACCTGGGGAAACTGGTCTCAATGTGATCTATCACAGGCTTTTCTCAAGTGATGTGAAGACCATGAGATGTCACAGATTACAGTGAGATGTTTATAAAAGGCCATTTTAAGTCTAGTGTTCTTATATTAGGAATTTCCCATACCATTGTATGACAGTGTTGTCAAGATCCCTAGAATTCTCCGAATGAAAAATTAAAAGTAGCATCACTCAGTGATATGAATGAACTGGAATTGGGGCAGGATTAATCCCAGTTAGGGTGCTCAGAAAATTCTTGGGAAACACGATGAGTCATTTTTCAGGTTTGAAACTAGCTGTCAAATGAAAAGGAAGATTTAGTTACTTGTGGAAGAAGCACTACATCAGTTGAGACCCGGGTTCTAGTACTGCTTTTACCACTAGCTAAATCCTTCCCATAATGTTTCAGCTAGAAGGAACCCATGAAACTTCCTGGAAGTTTATGGATGAGGACACTGAAGCTCTGGGTAAGGCCTGGTGACTTGCCTAAGGTTGCACAATATGCACAATTTTAGGAGTAATGGAGGAGGGATTCAAATGCGGGTCTTCTATGTTCAATGAGTGCCCTTTCATGAATGAGTCTGGCCAAGTGGGTTCATGTCTCTGATTCTCATTTTTCTCATCTACAGAATGAGAGGATTGGACTGGATGATGGTTTACAGCTCTAAAATGATGCAATTCTAGATGTGGAAATCTACCAGTCTTTGCTTTATACAAATTTTCTCATCTGGTTTCCTCTTCCAATGATATTCAACACATCTTGTTGCAACAGAGCTCCTTTCACAGGGCTTTTGTGAACCGTACTTTTCAATATGCTTTGGTGAGCATGATATGTATTCCTTTGACAAGCCTACTGGTTTAATAAGTATCATTATCAGAGGGCTCTACTTACTTCCCCAACTTCAACTTTCCAAGCTGTCAGCCAGCATTAAATGGAGACCAAACCCATGAAGAAAGAGAGTCCCTCCTGACAACCTGTGCTCAGTGGGTGGCTAGAATAGGCCTCTATAAAGGGTTACCATTATAGTCTTATAACACCACGCAGGCCAGCACTCCACAGCTATTCATCATTCCCACAAAGAAATAAGACACTAGGCATGTCAAAGACAGGTAAATGAGCGGTGCTTTAAGCTGATGGGTGGCGGCAGAGAGAGGGTTCAAAGGCAAAAATAAGAAGAAATGCCTTTCTGGAGGTGTTAACTCTTTCAGGCCAAGAAGTAGTAATTCAGGAAATTACCTCCTTCTGCACACTAAATAATACTCCAATAGCATAAAAGTTAATGCAAGCTTCACCAAGGAAATCATTTATTCCTTTCCGCCTGCCACTACCAAGTGGGGCAAGTTCATTTCTGTTTAGCCTCATCTTAGTTGCTGAATTACAAGCAGTCTAGGTTGCTGGAAAGTAAGTTTCTTATGATGCAAGAAAGGTTTGAGAAGAGGGACAAGGAAATTGTTCCAGCCATTGCAGATAATGACACAGGACGCAAGACAGCCACATTCTGTGTGCTAGTAACCACTTTGGGAAGGGGCAGTGAACCTTGCTTCATATAAGGTGGAAATGAAATAGCCAAAGGAAACATACTTGTTTTCTTCAATAATCATTCACTTGTCCTCCCTCTCCACCCCGTCTCCTGACAAAATGTAACATTAAAACTCAAGACCCTAACACCTCTCCCCAGGCTCCAACAGGCACCATGCATACAAAGCCTTTATATTTCCTTTACTAAAACGAGATATCTTCCTTTCACCACGACTGGATGGTTTACAAAAAAAGAGTAGTTAAGGTTTAAAACAATACATGAAGAGGTTCTTATTTTTTGCCAACATCGATTTATTTAAAAAATACTAAGGAAGACAGACTTGGACTCAAAAAACATTAAGAGAGTCACATACTGAACAAAATGTATTGGACCAAAAAAAAAAAAAAAAAGAAATGGCACCATAGGTATTACAGAAAGGACAGCTGAAAAACTATTTACACATTTATAAAAGAGTAAGTCTATAAAAAATGTAATAGCAAGATACAAATGCATAATATAGTGGCACATTATGTTAACAAAACAAAAACAGTACCTCATAAAACAGTCCAAAGATTTTTGTGTGTGTGGTTTGTTTTGTTTTGTCTGTTTAAAAGGCAGCTGGTGGTGTTTGTAAATCACAGCAGTCTGTGAGGGCAAAGAGGTGACATGAAAATATAAAGAGGGTATTGGAAGAAAACCATTTTAAAAACCATTTCTAGCAGAAAAATAAAATACAAGTTAAGGTGATTAGTGTAAAAATAGTGTAAAGCAATAGGGTCATAGGAGTTAGAGGGAAGGAGGAAGGAATGTGGTTTTTCTTCTGGTTTCTGTAACTGTAAAGGGGCTGAATTGCACCATTAATAGTCATAACCCTTGTTTCTTGGGTAATGTGGCGAGTCTCTCTCTAGTCCCCTGCCTATTGCTTCTTGCCCCTTATCCAGCCTGGATACTGGCGTGCAGAGGTCAAGGAAAACTACGAGTGGCTGCCCCGCGAGTCATGGTCCCTGCACCTCCAGCGCTCCCGGGGAGTCCCTGGGGAAGAATGAGCAAGACAAAAGATGGCTGCCTGCCATCTGAAATACTTTCTGTGGGCTTTCCCTCCCCCCTTGAAGTCCCTGACAGAACCCCTAGAGAAACATTAGATTGATAAGTGATGTTCATTGTAATTAAATAAAAGGCATTCTCCAAACTCCAAGCGTATGGCCAAACGTGGCCAGGGCCTTTGGGTGTCAACACTTTTTTCCTTTCTCTTTGGTGCAATGAACTCTGTGCTCACTGGCAGCTAGCTTCTGTTAAGAACTGGCGGCTGTGATGATGCTCATCGATTTGCAGAGAATGGAGCTTGCTTAGGGAGCCTTCAAGAATGTCAGGAAACTAAACAGTCTATTGTCTCAGAAAGGGTGGTAAGAATGGGCTTTGCTTTAGAGGAGTGCATGAGGAAGAAATAAATGAGTACACGACTGGATCCAAACTTCTGTTCTCACTACGTCATCCAGTGACTAGCACCGTAAGAGGGCAGCCCCAGACCTGCCGAGTACACAGACGCCAAACAACTTAGGCAACTGTCCCCCGGCTTTCCTGGCCTCTTCCTTCTCTACGTTATTGCAGCAGCATCAACCCCATTTTCTTTAGGAACCAAAATCCATCGGCCCCTGTTTGGCGCGACACATCACAAAAGGGAGGCGATTTCTTCTCCAGGATAAAGGGAAGGCTGGATGACCTAAATCCCAAACCGCTTTGTGCCTCCTCCTCAGCCCTCGCTGCTCACTTGATGAGCCACCCAGCTGTTTCCCTTATCACAACTTACTAACCCAATAATCATCAGCTCTTCTTCACACAAGAAAACAAGGTGGAAAGCTCAGCCTCTGGCCAACAGGTGAACATGAGGGGCCACCTTGCAATGATTGCTCTGAGCACCCTTCTGAATATTTTATTTCCTCAAACATATTTCTTAGCTTAGAAGACTTAAGAAAATCAATCAGGACTATTCCCTTCCTGGGACAAAGAGAGGTGAATGTCAGCAGTACTTTACTGGAAAGGCTCAAATACGTGAGCATTCAGGAGATTCACCCTTTGGGAAAATGGCAAGAGAAAGACACAGGAACGCCTGTGGAGAGGAAGAAAACAAAACCCACGTCTTCCATGCCCACTTCTAACTTGAAGCTTATTCTAAAGCAACATTAGTGAAAAGGGACAGCAGGGCCTTGGTATTTTGGCTTCAGTCCACAGAGATGGAACTCCACAGATGAGTTTCAGAAAAGCAATGACTCAGGGAACCTGGGCTGCAAAGGAGAAAAACATATCGTGATTGACATCCCACGGCCTAGGCAGTCAGGCTGCGTGTGCTCCATGGCAGCACACAGTCTGTACCTTGGATGCCTTTTCCTGTCCTGGAGGCACTGGTTCACCGGTCTCTTGTCAGTCTACCATAGCTCTTAGGCTACACCTATCAGCAGTCAGCTCTGGCTGGCTGAGCCCTGGCTGCTGCTACCTCTGAACTATATCGCTGATTTCTTTCACTGAACTGAGCAGCTTGCTAAAGTCCTGGGTGGCAGCAGGGCCCCCGCCCGCCGTCGAGGGGCAGATCTGAAGCTCACGCAGGTTGTTTTCCAACTTGTTGATGGCCTCCCTGAAAGCAAACTTGTTCCGCATCTGCTGGATGGAGTCCACGTAGCTCACACAGAAAGTATAAAGGTTTTTTCCTGCTTCTAGCACAGCACTATGGCTGGCCATCTGCTCTGAGTTTTTGGATATGGCCAGGCACAAGGCCTCGGTGCTGTCTAGGACCACACCTTTTGTGATAGCACCACTAGCAAGCCTCTCTGGGGGCTGGCGGGTTTTCCGCAGGGACACTCGGGTAGATATGAGAGGGATGAAAGCAGTGGAAGACAGTTGTTCCCCTCCGAGGGTCCGACGAAGCAGATGGTAAAGTAGAGGGAGAGGTGGTCGGAGTGGTGGTTGGGGCCATCGGCAGTTTGTTGGATGACTGTGGCTTTGGTGCAGAGGAGAGCACAGGCTTTTTGACACCCTCTCCTAACTGGTTTTGCTTGGCAGCATCATCTGCTACCATAGTCAACTGTTTTGCTTTAATACTAGGGCCTCCATCCCCTGCTGCTTCTTGGCCAGGGCTAGGAGAGGACTTCGTGGACTTCCCAGCAGATGATGGTGGGGGGGGAGGTGGGGCAGGTTTCAGTCTGGAGAGCTTTCCCTTGTCCTTCCCTAATGATTCAGAAGAGTGTTTGTGCCTCCTCACTCTGGGCTCCTCACTGGAGACCTTACTGGTCCCCATAAACGCACTGGAGGCAGCTTTGCTAACAGGGACTTGTTCAAGCACAGCAGGGGCTCCTAAGGCACTAAGTTTCCCAGTTTCATCCTTGTGGGACAGGCCAGAGGATGCTGTCGCCACGACTTGCCTACGGACAAGTTTTGGCGTCAGACTCGGGGGGCTGGAACCAGGGCTGGACTCTGTATCTTTGAAGACATCATCAACAGCCTCCTCATTCTGCTTCGGTAGCCTGGGTGGCGGGGTCACCGTGCCCCTGGAAGTCACATCAGATTTATTCTCACTTGCCCGTTTCCGAGGCAAGGCTGGCTTCTCACTCTTGTGCCCACCAAACGTAGAAGAATCAAATTGTTCCCAGTGGACTGCAGGTCTCGAGGTAGTGTTACTGACCTCCATTCTGTGTCTTTGGCCCCGTGGGGTACGCAAGAGGCAGAACATGACCTCAGGAAGCGCTTGCTGGAATTGGCATTACTTTCTTCTTCACTGGCTGCCAATCGGCTACTTGTTGACACGATCGATTTTTTCCACAAATGAGGAGACCGGAAGCCTGAGCTCCCTGACACAGCTCCATTGCTAACACTCACCCCATTGCTTGCACCTGGGAACTTGGATGGCTCAGGCGCCTCTGCGGGAGCTGTGATAAAAGCGCCATTGAGGAGGTCCCGGGTCTCGTCCTCTCCGCCTCCCCTGCGGTCTGGATGGCCATCCATCTCCCGAAAAGAACTGCTGCGCTTTGGGGGGGCTGGAGCGGTTTTCTTCTTCTTCTTGATTAGGGCACTAAAGAGGTTGGTTTTCTTGTCTTTGGGAAGAAGGCGTTCATCCTCATTCAGGCTATTGTCCTGGGGAGCTCTTTCTTTCCTTGGGAGCAGTGGAGAAATAGCAGGCTCATGATCCAAAGGATCTGAAACAAAATTAGGAAGGTTTTGATGAATCAAGAGGAAGCATTTATTTCCATGTCCCTTTTTGTGACCATATCATTGAGACCTCCCTCCTGTAAGACCAGACTGGTACACAGATTCTGTAGCATGGGAACCACATCAGGGCACAGGCTCACTGCTGATAAACTTACATATTATTTCCTAAAATGATTATCAATAAATATTATTTCAGAGATTTCTACCTAATTTTGACAAATTAGTTCTTTTGTATTCAGAGCTTGGCATTCTAATGTTGTAGTTATTAACTATTTATTAAATATGTGACTTTTTTCTTCTTTAAGTAAGCCTCTCATTCATTGAGTAACTGAAGACATAAGAATAAAAAATAGGGGTGACACTTGTCTCCTTTTCCCCTCATCTGTTTAGATTAAAGCACAAGAGTCCCCTTCTGACACCATTATCTGGTCAAGTGAAAACAATGACAGAGCCAAACAGAAACTCAGAACCTATTACCCTCAGATCACTCAACCATCTGAATGTTCTAAGTGGCATAATTTGGAAGGGAAGGTGCTTCATGCCATAGAAACATAGTGACAATGAGCTATTATGCTCTGAAGATAGAGGGGATGACCTTTTTAAATCTTCAAATTGGCGTACTTTAAATATGAATAATGGTTTACGATAAATGTATGCGAGTCTTCAATGTCCTCATTTTTGAATGACAAGTATTCTCACCAAGAGGTCAACTACTAGAAGAAGATTTCTCTGCTAGCACTCTCTAAAATCTAAATGGAGTTGCTTATAGGACAACATATTCATTTACCATAAGTCAGGCAGCATGTAGGGAAAAGAATCAGGGGAATCTGAATGATTATTACAATTTTACTCCGGGGTAGAGTCAATGGAGAAGGGAGAAATTCTAGTAAAACATTTTCAATGCTGATATTTGATATTCTTGGCTTCATACTCTATTTCCCATTGACATATATCTTTAGGAGGTGTTGAGATGCCAAAAATGTGCCACATCTCTTATTAAGATGATTTTCATCCTGTACTAAAGTCCTCATACATTGCCTCATCATGGCATGGAGGAAGCCCAGCTGGTGCCAGTGAATCACAGGTCCAGTGTCAAGTTGAAAAGGCTTGAGCATGGGTTTCTTGATGGCCTGCAGATATGTCAAGGAGAGGATCAACTTAGCTAACTTCAAAGAGGCTCCTGACCAGAGGAGGGTTGGTCACTAGGTGATGACTAATTTTTGGCTACACTAATTGATTAAAATGTCTACCATGGCTTGGATGTGAGGTTCATCCAGGAATACTGACATCAATAAAATCAGAGATCCCTGATGTAATAATTGGTTAAGAGTTTTCATTAATTTTTTTTCCTAAAGCCTTTCTTAATCAAATCAAAAAGTAAAAAGTCAACAAATATTTATTAGGTTCCTACTACAGGCATGCATTGTGCTTAACATCTCATATCATGATCCTAAAAGGATGAAAAGTAGATAGCAATAAGGGGTCTGGGCTCTGCTGCTGAGAATGTCCACTCAAGATCTGCTTTGCTTATTAGTTATTCAGACAGAAAACTCCTAATCTACTATAGTGGTATAAACCACAGCTACACTCAAAATCATGAGAAACTCTAATATACCAATCCAACCTTCTATATTCCTCTAGGAAGTTATACTGGAAAGGCACTTTTTTCTTGGAACACGAATGCATTGTTGGTGAAATGATCCAACCATTTTGGAGAGCAATTTGGAACTATGCCCAAAGGGCTATAAAAATGTGCATACCTTCTGACCCAGCAATAGCACTTCTAGGGCTATATCCCAAAGAGATCATACAAATGGGAAAAGGTGTACATGTACAAAAATATTTATAGCAGCTCTTTCTGTAGCGGCAAAGAATCGGAAATTGAGGGGACGCCCATCAATTGGGGAATGGCTGAACGAACTGTGGTATATGAATGTAATGGAATACTATTGTGCTATAAAAAATGATGAACAGGCTGACTTCAGAAAAACCTGGAAAGATTTGTATGGTCTGATGCTGAGTGAAGTGAGCAGAACCAAGAGAACATTGTACACAATAACAGCCATGTTGTGTGATGACTAATATTGATAAACTTAACCCTTCTCAGTAATACAAGGATCTAAGACATGTCCAGAAGCCTCGTGATGGAAAATGCTATCCACATCCAAAGAAAGAACTATGGAGCTTGAATGCAGATCGAAGAATACTATTTGCTATTTTTTTCTTCTGTTGTGATTTGTTTCCTCTTTCTGGAAGTTCCTCCTATTGGTTCTAATTCTTACTTACAACATCACTAATGTGAAAATATGTTTAATAGGAATGTAATAGTATTGCCTATATCAGATTGCATGCCATCTTGGAGAGGAATGTAGGGAGGGAGAGGGAGAAAAGTTTAAAACTCAAAAGCTTATGGAAGTGATTGTTGATAATTCAAAATGAATGAATTAAAAAAAAACAAAAAAAAAAAAGAAAGAAAGAAAGGCACTTTTTTCAGGAACCACCAAATACTATGAGTGGCAGAATGGCATAACAGTAAGAGCACTGATGTAGTGGAACGGACAATTATTTTGGAGAACCAAGCTCAAATCCCAGTTCTGACATTTACTAGCTTTGTCAACCTGGGCAAATGTTTAATCTCCCCCCTCCACTTATTTCCTCATCTATAAAATGGGAACCACTACTACTTAGACTACCTATTTCAGAAGACTGTCATGGGGAAAGCACTCCATAAACCATAAAACACTATACAAATAAGGTTTTTCTACACCACTAGTTCTGTACCAGAGGGGTTTTTTTTGGTGGGGGGGGGCAGGAAATGGGAGGTTGATTTGGTTTTCTGTGAGTGAGCTTTTCATGTCAATGTTTTAACTACAATCCCCCTTTCATTTGGGTTCAATATTTATTATTGTTTTATCTGCCCTGGAATGGGAACCACAAACGCTTTGAATAATAGATGAAAAGGTGGATTAGTTTCTCAGTAGATTTTATAAGCATCTCTGCCTCTTTGACCGAACTAACTGCCAAAGCCAATTGCTCCTTAATGATTCCCAAAGGGAGAGAGGGGTGCTACAGGGTGATTAGCTTTCTATTTTCAATGGAGATCTTTCTACTTTCAAAAAGGCTAGACTCTCTATTCCAGGACTTGCTCCTCTATACAGGGCCTAGTAGATATTTAAAAGACAAGAATAGCTTTTACTTTCCATCCTTGTATATTTGACCTTGGAAGTTTCTAGTAGCTTGGAATCTGCACGGTATAAGGGAAGGCACAAGGGCTGGTAGCACATACCGCCTTCTCCCGGGCTCTTCCCATGAGGAGTGTCCAGCAGCTCACTGGCGTCTTTATTTTCAGCAGCTCTCCTAGATGTTCTGGTCTTAGTTGGCAATTCTGGTGCTTGCAGCAGTGTACTGACAACACTTCGCACACCTTTCTTCCCCAACTCTTTTTCCACCTCTAAAAACACATGAAAGAACCATCATTGGAAAGTGTCTTAGAAGTTTGTTGTTTTTTAAATTAATGGTGATTATCTATAAATTATTATGGGAAACACTGATGCTGAAGCAAAACTTAACATCTTACACTGCATGGTTACGAAATAAAGTGCCCCTCTGGATCTCTTCCCTGCTTCCAGACATCTCATCCGCACACTCCTTTCCATCATGCAGAGTGCAGAGAACACTGCTGTATACAGTCCACAGGAGTGCATGCACCCCTACCTGCACATTCCCTACTAGCCTCTTATTGACCTTGGCATAGCACTATACATTACCATCTGATATGCTGGACTCCTGAAACATCGTTTCAAAGGCTTGGTGGATTTCAGCAAAGGAGGGCCGGTCAGAAGGACTCCACTGCCAACCTGAACAAATAAAACCCAATTTAAATAAACCATCAATGATTCCTTATGAAGCAAACTTTAAGTCATTGACGAGCATTCTAAATGAAGATTGGGAATATTAAAGGAACATCCTATTCTCATTTGCTAGCAGCTGGGTGGCACAATGGATAGAGTCCTGGGCCTGGGGTCAGGAAGACTCATCTCCCTGGGTTAAAATGTGACCTCAGATACAGGTCAGCTGTGTGACCATGGGCAAGTCACTTAACCCGGTTTGCCTCACTTCCTCATCTATAAAAAGAGCTGAAGAAGGAAATGGCAAACCACTGCCGTATCTTTGCCAACAAAACCCCAAATGGGGCCACACAGAATCAGACACGACTGAACAACAACAGACAGACTCCCATTTAGCACCACATAATGGACCAGAAGTCCTAGTCCTGGCTCTGCCAAAAACTCACTGAGTGACCTTGGGCAAAAGGTCTGAACTGCATGATCTCTGGGCTCCCTTTTAGCTTTAATTGCTAAGACTATCTTCTTTTCCCTTAAAAAAAAAAAAACTACAATCTCCTTATGTTGCTGCACTAACTGGAAACTTGAAAATCTGGTACAAACAGGTAAAAATGTATCCTTTGTGGCCTCAGACAGTGCTTAATAACTTGTGATTCACATACAATACATATGAATTAAAATATATTCACATATAAAAATGTAAACATTTTTATTACTAAGAACAAAATTCCTTGGAAATAACACGGCCAAAGGATTCTGCTTCTAACCTTCCACATACATCTTTTTATGAAAAAATTTTAGTTTCTTATTTCAGTTAAACAAAATCTTTCTTGCTAGGTTTGCAGAAACTCACACGCTCTCATGAGTTCATAGACTTTTTCTGGACAGCCTTCTGGACGTTCCATGCGATAGTTTTTTTCCAACAATTCATATACTTGTGACAGATCAATTCCAGGGTAAGGGGACATACCATATGTCGCAATTTCCCAAAGCAAAACCCCAAATGCTGAAAGAAAAAGGAAGAAAGATAAGTTAAAATTATTAAGATTTATTTGTGACTGTCATCTGTGCATTAAAATTATGTAAGATAGGCAAATACTAAGCTCAAAAGTAGTTCAGATGCTAAAAGATTTTAACAAGCTTCTTTATTAATCAAGACCTGTGACACAACAGGGTTAAAATCAGACTACCTTTAATTTACTCACTGCTTCAGACCTGAATACTCTGAAAGAATTAGGATCTTTCAAGTTCTATTAAAGACATAATTAAGGAAAGTCACAGTGGATTAACCATTATATAGTCTCTAGAAATATAATCATTTTGGCACTACAGTACAATGGATATACATACACCTGCACTGGGAATCAGAGTTCTAGTCTTAGCTCTACAACCAATTCAAGGACCTCTGTGAACCTGCGCAAAGTAGGCTCTGGGTTTCAGTTGAGATCTCTAAGGTTCTGTCTAGTTAAAAGATTCCAAGATCATGTTTTAGAATATTTATGTTCAGGACTTGGTCAAAGAAAGTACATCTATGCCTACATAAAATAAGAAGCAGCAAATGGAACCTCATATTAGTGGCAACTATAGATAAGCCAGTTAAGAATTATCATGTGACAAGCTGAAAGGCAACATCCAAGAAAAACACTACAAGCACAGAAGCACTGGTCATGAGGCCTAAGGTCATATGTGTCATTTAACTATCATGCCAAATATGAATACCATATTTTGAACAAAAACAAAAAGCTGGTAAGAGAAAAGAATGCAATTTATGTTCAAATTACTTAGGAAGAATAAATTCATAGATACATCAAACAAGAGGAAGTACTGCTTCTCTTTGGAAGGAAAGAGAAAGGGAAAAAAGAAATAAAAGAATGAGGAATGGGGGGGGAAGGAATACAAAGTATGTAAGAAAAGGAAAAGAAATGAGGTAGCAAGAAAGAGAATGCCAGCCAGAAGATAAGATGGAAGGAACGAGAGTGGATTCTTTTTTGGAAACCAAATATAAAAGTCCTTACCCCAGACATCTGACTTAATAGAAAATTTATTATAAGCCAGGCTTTCAGGTGCTGTCCATTTGATTGGGAACTTAGCTCCAGCATGGGCTGTGTAGGTATCTCCTGTCATTAACCTGCTCAAGCCAAAATCAGCCACCTTCACCAAGTGGTTTTCCCCTACAAGGCAGTTTCGGGCAGCAAGATCCCTAGGGAATACAGAAATCAATCCATCAGAGGTCCTGAACATCATTTCAGTTTTGGAGATCAATAACAGTTGAATGATGGCAATCAAAAGTCATCTGGTTTTTTTTTTTTGAAACTTGTGTTATCTCATTAACTCTGACATTAGAGAAAATTCCTACTGAGACTCCTCTGGCCCCATTCATATTTTAAGTATATTTTACTCAAACTGCATTTGTTGATTCTCTCTTCTTAAGTAATGCCTGCCCAGGTACACCTCAAAATCTTCCTCATTTGTCATCTGCCTCATCTTGCCTCCTGATTCATCCAGAGAAATTTCATTCTAACATTGTGGTTCACAGACATTTGCTGCAAAATCACACAGCAATCAGGCTAGGGAGGTAAAAAGCAGCAGCTCATAAAGATGACTGTTTAAGATAGCTTGGTCATCAGCAATCATAGAGAAATTAAATGCAGAAGAGTTTAGTTAAATAGGATTTTAGGTGTGCCTGAATGCAGAGGGTACAAACTTACAGTGCAAGGCAAAGTAAAAGTCAAGAAATCTCAATTTACAGCATCAGAGAGTTCACTTTTCTGAGTGACAGAAGCATCTGAATCCAACTCCTATGCAGCATAGAAAATATGTCTTACAAGGACCTGCTAGCATTTCACAGGTGATACTCTTATTCCTCACTATGGAATCTCATGTACAGATTTCATACTTCAGTTAATTGGGTGAGAATGATCAAAATTGTGGCAGGAAGAACATCTTGTATAAAACAGACCTAGCAGAGCCCATCAGGCCCCAACTCAGGCCGTGTCATTACTTTGCTAGGAAGCCATTTCCACTGGCAAAGAATGCAAAGCACTAACATAATTGCAGCACATTCGAAGGTCAAAACACTCCAGCCTTTAAAACAGCAGAGAAGCTTAATTCAGATACATGCAATTCAGCTGCAAAACATTTCTGAGCCAGATGACAGTAAGGTGGTTGGACTTCTAATAAAAGGGGAAAAATACAAACACTGGCCACTAAGATGAGTCTGTTTAAAGGCAATGCCTACAGCTCCCAGGGAGAAGTCATTACTGATGAAAGCTGCGCAAAGGAACAATGTGTACTCTATTTCATATAGAACTATGATTATTAGGAGTCAAGCTTTTTATGAATCTTACTTAACATACCACTTAATCCAAAATGGCTCAGATTGAATTATCTATAACCCTGTGATTAACCACTATGTTGGTCCAAAGTCCATTCCTTTTCTGTTTTAAATTTTGGTTATGTGTCCCTAAAGATTGTAAGCTCAAGAAATTTCCATATGCCTTTATTTCAAGGTCCAATATTCTGCCAGTACCAAAGTTAGAGACTGATTCTTAATACCAAGAAAGTGAGAAGCTTTGTAAAGGAAAGTCCTGGCTCTCATGCCGAGACTCTAAGTGCTCCAGGATGCTAAGCACAGCTCCTACCTGTGGATGAAGTTTTTCTTCTCCAGGTACTCCATAGCTGATGAGATCTGAGTGGCCATGTATAGCAGCACAACTGCATTCACCTCCTGCCGATTACACTCTCGTAGATAATCTAACAGATTCCCATAGGTCATGAACTCGGTGATTATATAGAATGGGGGTTCCCGAGTACACACCCCTGTGGAGTAAGACATGAAGTACTTTAGGCTACTGCTTCATCTACTACTTAGCAGACATCAAAATGACTGGCTTCAGGTAAACTGACGTGTGAGAAACTTTTTGAAACTATATCCACACCATAATCCTAACTACCAATGAAAAGTAGAATACATGTGACTGCAGGTTCCTCTCTAATGAGATGCATGTTTCCACTCTCTTTCTTTCCCCTAATGCTAAAAGACTTTGGATATTAAAGGTACCACAAAGTTCAGAATGGAAGAATTAGCATTAAAAAAAAGAATAAGCAATAAAAATCTAACCACTCAAGCCCCTTGACAAAACGACATAAACCATAATTACTTTTATCAGAAGATTGCTTTGACCCTCAGAATCACTTTGTAAGAGGTGAGAGAACTGAAAAACTCTAATGTTTCAACGTCAATTTTAGATGTGCATTCCCTGATTACTTTCAGATACTAGCGTAAGTAATAACAGATTAGCATACCCAAAAAAATGCCTCTTGCTTTCAAGTGCTGACTGTTGGTAGAGGATAGCTGTCTGGATCTGAAACCTTAGCACGGTAAAGCAGTTTATCTCTTCTTTCACGGCACCTGTATCACCCCAGAGGCTTTAATTAAAAGTTCCTCTGCTTGGTTCTTCTCTCACTTACCTAGTAATTGTACTAAGTTAGGGTGTTTGATCTCCTTCATTACTGCAGCTTCTTTCAAGAACTCTTCCACCTCCATAGTGTCTTCCTGCAGAGACAAAGAAGAAAAGTTTCAACAAGAAAAGCGTACAATCCGATCTAGCTTCACGGCTAGTGTAAATTGGAGCTCTGAGTTGCAGCTGTCCTGGGACTTCCATCCCTCACAACCACATTACATTGATTTGCTCCTAGATGTGTTAGTGTGCCTGCCAATCTGTTTTACTTCCTTTCCCAAGGCTCACTCTGAGCATTAATGCTTCTCCCCCCTCTCCCTGTGGCACTGAGCTTCTCTCTATTCTCCTATTGCAACAAATACAAGTTAGTGTCTGCATGCTTGGTGGCTTACTTTCAATGGCCGCTATACAGAATGTATGTTTCTGTAGCAGTATGGCATTTTGCTAGGATGTAAGGTCATGGTAAAATGGAATCAAATTCAAGATCAAATCAACCAAGAAATAATGGACTTAAAATAAAAATCAGTTTAAAGAATCTGACATGCAACTCACTTAAAGGAAAAGAGCAGTCTATTCTCAGGGACACAAGGTAGTACTGTATACAAAAGGAATAGATGACATACATACAACACGCTAGGACGGATCACGGGATTCCTAATGAAGCAGCCATAATCGTCTGTCACAGGATCACAGAATTAAGAATTGGAAGGAATATGAAAGGTCATCTAGTCTAACCTTACCCTCACTTTACAGATGAGTAAACAGAGGCCCAGAGCAGTGAGGTGACTAGCCTAAGGGAAAGTAGCTGGGAAGCATCAGATCTGGGATGTAAGCCCAGGTCCTCTTACTCTAAATCCAACACATTTCCTCACAGGAAATGAGGTTAGCCACATAACACAGCATTCAGAGCTAGCTGGGGCCAAGGTCATTACTAGCCATGGCTTACTGAGACAGAGAGGATAGTGAGGAAGTTGAACTAGGAGTCCACATTATTTGAGGGGACTTTGGCGTGTTATACTGAAGTCCCCAGCTGTGAGGACAGTGGGGTGAGGTGGAGAGAAAGACTGTGAATCAATAATGAAATGCCTAAGAAAGGAAGGGGAAGGACCTAGCAGACAGTTCATGATTATAACAAAGATCTATGTTTCAGTCTTCCAACCCAGATGCCAAGCCTCTAACAAACCAGATCCAGGCCAGGATCAGAGACTCAGCCACCAAGGAGGATGAGAAAAAGTGAAAATGCCTCAACCCTCCAAAATCATCAAGGGCCCACCTCTAAACATCCAGAAGCCAGGACAGTAGGCCTTTAGTCTCTTAAACTTGTGTAGAACTGAAAATAGCTATGGATAAAATGAGTAAGCCAACAATGTTACAGGCCCCTCCATCACCCCCAACCAAGCCTGCCCTGGACTGAGGAGCTGACAGTTCTTATTGGGAAAAGTCAGAATGTCAACCATCCTATGTTCACAAACTTCCTTCTCCTTCTATGAATACCTGTGATTCAGAGCTGTAGGCTTCCTAGGTGAAAACTACTTTTCCATGCCTATCTTCCTATTCCCCCAAACCTTCATCATTATTCACCTCCGCCGTCCTTCCTCCAGACTCCCTGTTCTGCCCTACCTTTTCCTTACAGTGTACTTTTGGAATCCCTGATTCTATCGTTAACAAACTTCCCTTCACTTTAGGTTCTTCTTCTGTTCCTTCTACCTTCTTGCACTCATGGAGTTCTGGTTCCCCCCAGAAGATGCTGCATTCCTGACTACCTTCCACAGTACTAGTACTACTCTCATGCTACCAACACACTGTTCATGAAGCAAGGAACAAGTCTTTATTAAGTGCGTACTATATGCCAGGTGCTGTGCTAAGCATATTACAAATATCGCATGTGAGACTCATAATAACCTTGTGAGGTAGGTGCTATTATTATCATCATCCCTATTTTGTGGTTGAGGAAACTGAGGCAGAAAAGGTGGTAAGTGACTTGCCCAGGGTCACAGACCAGCTTGGAAGTGTCTGAGGCTGAATTTGACCTCAAGTATTCCTGGCTTAGCGCTCTAGACACTTGTGCCACTGAGCTGCATCTAAGAAGAGAGGCTTGCTTCATGCTTCTTATTACTACTGCAACTGGTCTCTTTCTCTGCTGCCAATCAGCACCCTTTCTTCCTCTGACGTTTACTCCACATTTCTGTTTTCACCCTATGCTGATCTCTGTTACAATCACGAACAGCCCTCTTGGTCATCCTCCACCCTTTCTCAAGCACTTCATTGCTTGGTTCACAGTCTTTCTCTCCACCTCACCCCACTGTTCTCACAGCTGAGGACTTCAATATAACATGCCATTCTGCTTTCTCTCTCTCTCTCTGTCTCTCTCTCTCTCTCTGTCTCTCTCTGTCTCTCTCTCTGTCTGTCTCTCTCTGTCTCTCTGTTTCTCTCTCTCTCTCTCTCTCTCTCTCTCTCTCTCTCTCTCTCTCTCTCTCTCTCTCTCTCTTTCCCCACTCCCTTCTCTCATCACCCACTTTGCAATCTCAGTCCATCAATCTGGCTCTGACATCACTTTCTTCTTTTTACAATCTCAAGATGCCATAGTTAGCCAGTTCTACTATATACTGTTCTCTACTTTTGAATCCCTTGCTCCTTTGTTCTACAGCCACTAATACCTTTCCAAAGCCAACTCTTGGGTTACCCCTACTCTCTGCTTTATCTGCTCCTACTCTCATGCTACAGAACACCCCTGGAAGAAGTCATATAAGCAAGTCAGTGGGGCCATTACAAATTTATGATGATAATAAGAGCAGCTCATATTTATCTAGCACTTTAACATTGACAAAGTACTTTATATAAATTATATTGCTTGACTTATGGTATTTAATTTAATTTCAAATGGATACTCACTGCTATAGGGCAGTCCTTTCATTTTTTCTGGTTTGAGACGACCTCACTATGGCTGTCCCAAACCTTTTCTTCTGTCAAACCACCTACACAATTCCTCCCAAACAATCCTTTCAGCAGAGGGCTGCTTTCTACTTGATAGAGACCATCCATGTAAATTCCTTCTCCTCCCCCTATTTTGTACCTGGAAACCCTTTCGCCATCATCTCTCATTCTCTCCTCCTTTATTCTATTCTCTGATGAAGAACTGGTCCTTCCCTTTGCCAAGGCCAATCCTTTTACATGTACCCTTGATCACATTATTCCCCCCATCTCTTCTGGACATGCTTGTTCCCTTCAAGTATCATCTCCTGCTTTGTAATCTTCACTGGCCTTATCCACTGGCTTCTTTCTTGGGAAAAACAAGCCTAAATCTTCCTAGCTATTAAGAAAGAAAAAAAACCTCTTGACACTACCATTCCCTCAAGCTATCATCTGCTATCTCTACCCTTTTTTTCACAGCTAGACTCCTAGAAAAGGCTTATTATCATTTCCATTTCCTCACTTCCCACTCATTTCTCAATCCCTGGTAGTCTAGCTTTCTCCAAGGTAACCAAACACCTCACACCTTCTAAAGATAATGACCTTTTCTCTATCCTCATCCTTCCTGACCTCTCTGCTGTTTTTGACACTGTTGACCCATATCCCCTTAGCATTCATGACACTTTTTTCTTCTACGTTAGTGCATTGTCTTTAATCATGTTTACAAGTGAAGCATAATCTGAGGCTGGTCAGTCTATTGTAACTTAGTGTGGGACACTGAGAGACTAAAACTTTGAAACAGCTTATTACTCTGTAAAAAATGGCACTATATACCTAATGTCAATTAAACACACTTAGTTGGTAGTCACTGTGTCAGACTGCACTGGGAAAGAATTATTTCCAGGCTCAATATCAAGGCTGTTTAATTCTTCTGAGTCCTTTCTGTTCCTTAAAATGCTCAGTAGACCATATAGTTTTTGGCCCAGAGTGCTTTGATTTACCAGGGTGACACTAATGTCAAAGGCACAAGAGCTAATGCTTTCTGCAATTCTGGAATTTAATGCTGTTCACGAACTGAAGTGGGGATTTAAAAATCTTGCTAGGTCAACACTATGTTCTAAAAGTAGCTCTGAAATGAAGCATTTCTATTCCATTAAAAACAAAACAAATAGGCTACAGTGTAATACTTCTTCTGATCCCTTTCCTTTCCTAAACATCTATAACACAGACCTGAGAAAGGTAAGGGAAGAACATATTATGACAGGTAATTTCCTTCACAAAAAATTAAAATGATACTCTCTTTAAATCAATGTGAATTTGTCTCCCCCTACTGGAGTCAGACCAAGTTCACTTAGTACTTTAAACCAGTAAGGCAGCAATCTTCATTTTTAACTAGAGATATCTTTGATACTGTTTAACTGAAGACACCTTTGTTTCTGTTTAGTTATATCCATCAATATTCATTTTTAAGTTATTTAGTCCTTCTGAAGAGTTCTTTCATTCATACCATAAAATTTTAGCAATTAAAACTAATTAAGGGGAGATAATCTGAATTAATGAAACCTTTGTATTACAGAATATTTTAAAGGAATGTCGTTTTATCCTTTTCAAGTGCATATTAAATAGACAGCATAGAATTAAGTAAATCCAGCAGAAAAATAAATTTCCACTCAAAATAACCAGAGAATCTATAAAATATCTGGAAGACACCAATTGAAACGACAGGAATCACAGAAAAACTACAAAACACAACAGAAATAAAAGTAAACTTAAATAATTGGAGAAAAACTAATCATTCATGGTTGGCCCATATTACTATAATGAAAATTATAATACTATCTAAATTGACTTACAGATTCAGTGTCATACCAAATTATTTTCAAGAACTAGACAAAATAATAACAAAATTCATTCGAAGAACAAAAGGTCAAGAACCTCAAGGGAAACAATAAAAAGAAGTGGGAAGGAAGGGGGCCTTGGCATACAGATCTCTAAATACACTACAAAGCAATAATAATCAAAATTATATGTTGCTATATACAAAACTTGAACAATGAAATATATATATACAACCTCCAGAAGCAACCGCAAGTAATAGCATTGTGTTTGATAAATCCAAGAACACCAACTACTGGAATAGGCACTCACTGTCTGACAAAAACTGCTAAGAAAATTGGAAAGCAAG